CCCAGGGGCGACAAGTGAAGAAAAGGAAGAAAAGGAGGATGGCCCAGAGGCAGTAAGCGAAGAAAGAAGAAAGGAAGATGAAGGAATGCAAAAGATGATGAACTACAGCGGCCGACAGTTGCAGCTGGCGGTGCTTATGGCACTCATCGCCAAATCAAGGGCCCAAGGAAATCAGAGTGATGAAGACGAGAATCCCTCTGACCAAGCTGGTTCTGAGCCGCTTCAAATGTTCATGATGCTGTACACCATCCTTGTCATCTTGGCCACCCTGCTTTTCAGGCGCTTCTGTGCTTGGTTGCTGGCACCAGCTATCAATGATGGTGACGCTGCTGCTGGTCAACAATATGAGCCCTCAGCACTTGGGCCACCTGGTAGTTCCACGTCGGAATCCCAGGGAAGTTCCATCACCGTTGACTGGCAAGGCCGTGAAGTCAATAGGCCTAGTGCCAGATCAAAAGGAAAGAGAAAAGGAAAAGGGCAGGGAAAAGGAGATCCTCAATGGTTGCTGCGATGGCTTTCCTCTCTCACTCCCGAAGAGAGGGCGCAGGCTGGCATACCTCCGACCTCGAGCTCATCCGGACAAGCCTCCCAGCCTCAGTCGGATGTCACGCTCACTGGCATCCAAGAAGAGCCTGAGCAGGAGATTCCTGCTGGCGATCATGAAGTACCACCCGAGGTTCCACCACAAGAGTCTCCGGCCAATGAGGATGAGACTCTCTACCACCCTACAGAGAGGGATTACCGTGATATGATGGCCGATGAAGCATGGGATCCAACACCACCTCAACCGAGACCGACAGGTCCTTCAGAAGCGGCTGCAAAGGCATGCCCAAGGGCATTTCAACGTGATGGCGAACCGCCAATCGGGGATGGAGGCCGGAGGTACCAAGGGATGGGTGTCTACATCACCAAGTATGGGCAAAAGTACCATATTTTCACTTCTTGCCCTACGCTCACCTCATCCGTGCTCCGAACCTCCCCTCCATGCCACCGTTGCGCCTTCACCATCGACATGGCCCATGTCCGAAGAGGTGAACACCTTTGGTCTCGTGGATGAGGCGAGATCTACCATGTGGATGCTGCCAGACCACCGGCATGTTCAACTGGAGCTGAGAAGAAGTATGCCCCATGTGTTCGATGCCTGCAGGAGCTCCGGGAACGGGAGCTCAATATGTGAAGGAAAGTGGTGGAAGGGAAGAAAAAGGGGGGCCGCCTTTAGTTGCGCTTGGCGACCTTCCTAAGGCCATTTTGGCCATTGTGGTGAAGCAAATGCCTGTTGGCATTACGGTTTTGATGAAGAAAGGAGAAAAGAAAAGAATGGGGTGCACACTGGGCTAATGGCCTGCAGGATACAGTACAACTGTTTTCAACGAATGCATGGGCATTGTTGGTTTCATCTTGCTGCCACACGGCCTGGTTGGCCTTTGAACTGACAGATGAAGAAGCTGTCAACCAATGGGGCTTGAGCTGATGGAAAGCCTGCCCTCATCACACATGCTGGAAGAAGGGTCCTAGACCTGGAGTACTCGTGTGGTGAGGAGCATGGCATCACGATGTCTTCAAGGAAGACAGGGGGAGTGTTGATGCATGACCCCTGCACAAAGATGACACGCTTTTGCATGCTGCATGTCTTTGCAGCCCTTTTAGATGAAGTTGAGGTCAAGACACCTCAACGGGGCGAGAAGACCCCACCAAGACCACGAAGTCAGCAGAAAAGCAGAGCATCCTTTTTGCGTTGTCTTGAGGGTTGTTTTGAGAGGGTTTTACTTGGGTGAGGAACATGCCCGACCACCAACAATTATATATATATCAAACAAGATCATCCGTTGTTCCAATGATTAGCATAGACCCAACCCAGTACCCAACCCTTACCTGTACATTGGACATCTCTCCTTTTCATAGTTATGACCGTCCTGCTCGGGCCCCGAGGTTTGTGGAGTGCCCGGTTCCCGCAGCCTGAGTTCTTGCCGTGTGAGCTTAGGGCACCGCTCCAAGCAAGTGGTCCAAGGCAGGTGTTCATTTTGGAAAGGAAGAAAGCCCAGGCAGTGACGTATCATGATTGATAGATCAACCATGATCAACAACATCCACCAGCAAGTCAAGAACACACCAAACCCAGTCGTTTCGTCACGATGTTCAGGGGTCCCATCGACGGTATCTCCTCGCTGGCAAGTGAAAGAGGCTAAAAGCAAATGTTTCTGTTTATATAGTTGTAAGTGAAAACTCGTCATTTGTCACCGGAACCAAGGTTTGGTCGTGATTTGATCATGCATGAGTGATTGGGTTCAGCTAAAGAAGTTGGGCCTGGTCACAGCTGCAACTGCACCCACCCCAAATCCCTCACCAAGAACCGCAAGACAAATCATGCCACACCTGTACCACCTTCTTCCTACACCTCACACTCTCCACAAAAAACAGCTCCTCTGTAGGTGGCCATGTGCTATGTCTTCATCAACGCGTCTTGGTGATTTGCAACCTGCGGCCGCGCCAGCTCCACGGCGTCACCTCCGAGGCCGGGCTCCTCGTGGCCGCCGCTTCTCCGGGCCGCGCGGCGCGGAGAACGGCGCGGAGAGCGGCGGCACGGCCGCCGGAGGCGGCGCAGCTGGGGGAAGCAGTGGATGGCGAGAGGACAGCGGGGAACGGGGGAGGAGGATAGAAAATGAAGGTTCTTGGATGAGTTGGAACGAAGTTGGATGGCATGCCTTGATGGGATGACCTGAAGGAATGGGTTTCTTGGTTTATTGCAATCGTTTTTGGGGGAAACTACAGTAGTTTCTGCCCGGTTCATAGTGAAGCTTTTCCTTGGTTGTTTGAACTTTTGTGTGAGGCACTTGCGTTGGTTGCTGAAACGGAGCGCCACGCTGAACGCCAACGCGCCTCCTTGTGCAAAGCTCATTCATGAGGGTTGGACAACTCCAAAGCCGTCAGAGTCCGATCTCAATCCGAGGAAGTTTCATTCTGAAGCTACTACTACTACTACTACTACCACTACTACTTCTACTTACTACTTACTACTTACTACTTTCTACTTATATACTACTACTACTACTACTACTACTACTCCTACTACTAGGAGCAAGGACGCCACCAGTAGCTCCTGGCCTTACTACTAGTAACAAGAAGCTACCAGGAACAGACTACCTGGGAGGTTAACCTGATTGACAAGAATGCCCTCAAGGAGTGTCAATCTCGATCATCAAGCCTCCCCAAGAGGCTGTGAAGCGCACATTCAACGCCAAGCGCTGATGCTTGGCCATTACCCTCTATATGTGCTTGAAAAATATCCCTCATCTCCAAAATTCATCAAAAATTCAACCTAGATCCGTGGAAAGACAAGACTGGTCCTTCAAGACATGACATGACTGGAAGTATCTCCAGCCTCTGACAAAACGCAGGAAGTATCCACTCCTGGACATCTCCAGCCCTGAGAACCCCTGGACTCGTGCAGCGCGGCGCTTGTCGACCGGACACGGGCTTGTCCTGCTGGATGGCCGACCCTTGCTGTGCGCCACGCGGCGAGAAGTGACCAATAAAGCAACGAGTTTGAATGTGAAGGTGTCCCCAAATGCATAGAACAGTTGTTACTAGTAGCTTCTAGCCCTTGTTACTACGTAGCTTCCAGCTACAGTGATTCTGCGATCAAATACATACGACATGAACCCAGGCCATTTCCAGACAGAGTTGTTCAAGATTGTGGCATCGAAGCATGTCTAAACAGTGGTGCTGAAATGTGCTGAAGTTTTGATTAGTATCCTTTGACCAGATCTGAAGGTTTCACCCCTTCCATCTTTCCCAGCATGGCCTTCCATGGCCTTCCATTTGAGGCGGGGCAGCCTTGCCAGATCGATCAAGAAGGAGGTCGTTTCGAGTGAACCGACCCAACGGTGAAGCGAGTTCCGCTCGTCGCCCACGTGGGCGTTGGATTGTACAGAGCTCATGTGCCGAAGTCGCGCCAAAGAAGTTTGCTGTATTGGAGTTCTGGGAGACATTTGGCACGATTGGGATTGAGGCAGAAGACACCCAGAGCTTAGGCCATCCAAAATAGTTGCAAGCAGGGCAGTATATAGATCAATCCAAACATTTCTTCAGGTGCCTTCTAGCTGTTGATTCTCAGCCAGCAAGCAAGCGCGAGGGAGGCTTTCACTCTTTGCGGGGAGGTGTGTACAGCCCAGGCGAGAAGAAGAAAGTGCGTGATGTCCCTGGCGCAGTTGGACGGATTTGGAAGGACATATACGTAGTTATTTATTGACTCCGAATCGTCCATAGAGGGTCATGGTGGTGTTTGATGAAAACGGGACGCCGGTAGCACGGCCTAGTATTCTTGTTGGTCTCCGTAGATGAGCTTGTATGCTAAACATGATATAAGTTTGATGGCCCATCACAGCAGAGACATGCAACACGGCAATTCCAGGAGTTGGAGGTGTGGCCGAATAGGAACTTAACCAGTGGGTATTCACAATGGGGCACACACACAGAAGATTGATAGATATTGGATTTACACTCACTTCTTTCGGGTGCGACCTCATATCATGGGTACTGAAATGTGAACCCTGTATACTGTGACGGACTTGAGGAGGGTGGTGATTTAACTTTTCTCAGCAGAGCCACCTCAAGTCAACGTCAGTCCTTGTGGCCCCGGAGCCCTCGCCGAGGTCAGCTCTGCCTGAGGCTGCTTGGATTTGCTTGGACTTGTTTCTCTGATTCTCTGTGACCAGTGACCAGTGAATTGATTTTGACCAGCAGACCGTCCTTTTGTTGGCAATATCTCAGGTCGGCGAGTCAGAATTACTTTCCAAAGCAGCCTGGTTGCTTGATTCTCCTGGGATTGGAAAAAGTAATGATTAAGAGAGAATTCTACTAGTAGCTTCTTGTTACTAGTAGCGATGGCCTCCAACCTACTTGCGATGGCCTCCACCTAATAGCGTCCTTGTTACTAGTAGTAAGGCCAGGAGCTACTAGTAGCGTCCTTGCTCCTAGTAGCGATGCCCTTTGCTCCTAATAGCGTCCTTGTTACTAGTAGCTAAAGAGGCGTATGGACTCTCATCATGTACTTCCCATCTCTTGGGCGACCAACGTCGATGGTTTTGAGGCGGCGGAGTTCCAGGGCGAGATGTGGCGATCTTGGAGCCCAAATAACAACTATTTAGTAATGGCCTCCAACCTAAGAGCGATGGCCTCCTGAAATAGACGAAGCAGCAAAGAATCCATGTGAAAGAGAGTAGTTTTCCTACAACCCATGTTCAACTTCATCTCGCCAAGGTCCCAATTGAATGGTCTCCGGCCCAGCAAGATGTGAAACGGTGATCAAGGGCTTGAGAAGGGCGTTTGAGAAAGGAAAGAAAGAACCTGAACCTGTTCGATCGTGGCCGCAAATGAAACTTATATACATCTCCATTGCCATCACAAGAGAAACACAGCACGAACTACGTCCAAGATCACAACTATTCATCATCACTTGCAGCATCACAGAGAATGTTCAGAGAGCACCAGACAACAATGACAACGTTCTAACAATTTGAGCATCAGTGGTCAACAATCAGCCTGGAGATCGTGGTGGTTTGGGCAGTTTGCGCCAGTTCAACACTCAAACGCTCCTTTTGGCCAATCTCTTTTCCAAGGCTCTGAGCTGCGGGCCGAGGCTGGGCAGTGGAAACCGTTGAGCCGGGGGGGCCGGGCAAAGCTGATCGATGCACTCTAAGATCCTGGTGACATCACCAGGAACATCAGGGAACATTGGAAGTCTTGAACTTGCAGGGGGGTTCGTGCGTGAAAGTGGGTCCACCATATCAGATGAGTTGTCGTATTTATAAATTTATGGTGCTGCAGGAAGACTTGTTCAGCAAGTAGGACGATTGCATTTGCTTAGAACTTAACAGTTGTTTTACGATAGTTTGGTGTGTTTGGTCTTTAAGTCTGTTGGTGTATATAATCATAGTCATTCGTTCGCATTCGTTGTTTTCGTTTTTCTGACACCTTGGTCATGTTCTACATGAGCAATGTTGGGGTTGGCTGGGTAAGCTGTCCAACGGTCCTTTGTCAGATTGGCCCCACCTCCCAACCAGAGCACCACTTGTGGCCGTTTGAAGACCATGACTGTCTATTTGTGGTGCACGTGAGGTGGCAGCTGTGCGGGCTCTCAACGTAGCCATTGTATGCCATTGTCACCTCTTCTGATCAGCTTTGTATCTTCGGAGTCACTCATCTTCCCAAGTTGCATGTTTTTTGCGAGTTGTTGTCTTCTCAGGCTCTTTGATCCTTTCCTCACGCATCTGAGTTTCTGTAGCCTTTCACATCTGAACGGTGAAAAACGCTGGTCTGGTCGGTCCGCGTCCGAGGTTTGGGATGCGGTGGCGGAGCTCGCTGAGATCGTGGGGGACGCGGCCCCCGCCGGTGCCGGGACGCCCGAGGTCGGGTCCATTCTGTCAGATTCAGAATCCACTAGGATCCCCGCTAGTTGTTGGGCCTTTGAGATCCTTTGAGGCTTTGTTTGTTTGCTTTGTTGGTCCTTTTTTTGACAACACACGGGTGCAAAGGGCTTCTGGCACTGGTGAAGAGATACATTCCGGTCCAAAAAGGCGGGGTCAGTCGCTCGCCCACCGACCTCGTCTCACAGCTACTTCTCGGTCTCGGCTCTCGAGGCTGTGAGATATGCTGAGTCCAGTAGCCTAGGCTTCTGGGTGTGCCGGGGTCGTGGGCAGTGCTTCTGAACCTCTCTGAAAGAAGGGAGATGGTAATGGAACATACCTGGTGGAAAGTAATTTCCAGCATACGCCGAGACACAATCTTTATCCTTTTGGAGGGATAGGACGAAGTTGCATCTTAATTAATCTATTTTCCACATGGAGGATAGCCAGTGACGGTGGAAGATAGTGGTGCATGCCATGGCCATGGAGGGAGGTAGTTTTCCAGAATGTTCCAAGTTCCAGCTTACAAGGATCTTCAGAATATGTCCTGCTCAGCTGTGTATGTGCCGCTTATGCCCCTTGCACGTATAGTAGTGTATACTATCTTGGAGGGTGTGTCTTTCTTTTTCAGTCCTTTGCCCCGGCTCCGCTCACCAAGCGGGACGATCAGGGTGCCCCGCCCAGTCTTCCATGCTGGGAGGTGCTTTGCAGCAGACGGCCACCTTAGCGATGGAAAAGGTGCAGAGCGCCAAGTCTGTTGGGTTTCCGTGTGTTGCCATTTTAGAGGATCCATAATGTGACAATGGCTGGAAGATGATGGAAGGGTGTATGTTATTCTGTCAGTAAACCAGATGCAGAGAATCTATTTCCATCCCGTGGGTGCTTTGACATTGGGATCATGTCCAGTGCTAATGCCGATGTCCAAAAGACTCAGCGTGGAAGGTGTAATGGGAATGTTCTCGTGTTTGTTTGGCTCCCACAAAACCACTTGCGGATATTTGCGGATGTATTCCACACCACTTTTCTGTGTTCCACGCTGTGACTATTCACCTGCGTCTAGCAGTCCAGGAAGGCTTCATAGAGAATGGAGTGAAAGAGCGGCAGATCTCCGCGCTTGGGAGATATAGAACTTCTTCTCTAGCCATTTTGATTCACGATCCTTGCCTTTGGCCTGTCAATCATGGGAATGGAATCCATCTCATGTTGGAGCTTAAGGGCTTAAGGTGAATCCATCAGGATTCACCTCATGTGGCTGTGAGTTTATGGGTTTTCTCGGTCTCACCTGGACGCACCGACAGGCGGAAAGCTGCCATCGTCGGGAAGCCTGTTGGGATAATCACACGATGGGCATGGACTGGACAATTGAATGGAGACTCGGATCCAGGTGATAGTCCGCATGCGAACTTAAGACCTGAATCCGGGTGCTTTGGGGGTTCAATATGCTCAAGGAATGTTCCAAGGCACCGAACCATTCCAAGGATCCCCAGGAGGAGACCTTCAGACTCAACGGATCAAGCCTCCCTTTGTTGGTGGCTTGCAAAGTGACATGGTTGAGATAATACCTCAGACATTTTCTGCAAGTATATACTTGTTTATATTGGTAACTTATGTAACTTGAGATGGTTTCAAAACGTCGCATGTCTTTTTGTTTGTTATATATATATATCATGGGTCAAAACTGTAAACCTCAAGAAACAGTCCTAATAGGGAGAGAATCGACCACCTAAAGCAGCATGCATTGGTGCCTAGAGCCATCTGGAGGTTTTGAGAAGTAGGCAGCTCCCAAGATGAGTGACATGAGCTTCCTCCGGTGGTGCACCTGGAGCCACCAACAAAAAGGTCCAATAAAAATAACCAGGACATGATAGGACATGTAGGGTCTGCTTGCTAGTTTGCTTGAATGTTGCAGGGGGGTGGGTGGATGCTGTTCTTCAGCGGTTCACACGTCAGAGGCTCCATGAGTTCCTTCGGACAGCAGCTCCGCACCGTGGAGGAATCGGTCCAAGAGTGGGGGCATCTCAGACCGGGTGCGTTTCGACCGAAACAAGCAGAAAAGGACGTCCATCCAAGGAGGACTCCTTGTTTCTTGTTGTCTTTTTCTTTTTCGCAGCGCACTGGCAAGGTGACCATGTCAGTTGAAATCATGGTCCTCAAATTGCTGTTTTCAGGCTCCATGGGCCCTCAAGAAGCTCCCATCCTTTGGGGGATGACCCTCTTAGGTACTCACAACATCTCAAACGGAGTCAGAAATCCTTGTGACAGATAGTCCATCACCTGAGGTTTGTTTGGATTGTCAGCATGTTCGTTAAAAACAATAAACACAGGGGTTACTGCACTGTTTGTACCTTTTTTTGCACGCCCAAAAAGAGGTGCTGTTTGTTTGTACGCAATTTGTGAACTGCCAGTGGAATGGACGCACTTGCAACATGATCAAGGCCCAAGGCTATCAAGAAGAAGAGTGTGGAACC